ATACACGCTATGCAAAACGAGCGTTTCAATTTTGGAGCCTGGTGACGAGTGTACGAAAACGAGGTCGGTCAGCCCTCTCTATACGACTGCATTCGCGCCTTTATATAATTTCTGTATGTTTACATGTTAAAACTYKCAATTTTCTGTATGTATGAGCATAAATTTAACGCTTACAAAACAGGATACCCCAGATCGCCACTGGTTGGAAGAATACCATCAAATTTAAAAGTAGAAAAATTAAAATTTTGGTGAAAAATGCCGAGGAAACCCCGCCAAAGACTSGTAAACAAAGGCTCYGAACAACTTGTAGCGCGTTTGCACAAGTGCGAGKTCCGCATGGCYGCTGTGTGAACATCTTCGGACTTCTTAGGCTTTTCCTCAATAAAATGAGCTCAGATTTACTTTCAGAAGCCGATATTCCTGGTGCATCACTAGGTGGTAGAGCACCAGCTAATTTAAAAGTGCAAGACCTAAAATTTTGKCTGAAATGCCGCGGAGATCCCGCAAAAGGTCTGAAGACGAAAGCCCAGCTTGTCAAAAGGTAAAAACAACAACACACGATSGAACGAAAACTATTAAAATTCACTGTTTGGTTTAAAGAGATATTGAATTCTGACAGACTGAAAMTTTATTGTAAAATGAYGTTCGCCCTGACTCTTGTCTTCGATCATAGTTAGTACTAACTATGCTTCGATCGGTCGTCTTCGATCGWGCGCGCGGTTTCGCACCTTGTTTGGCCTCCATAAAAACATTATTGAAATTTCTCTTGTTTTGTTTTTAAGGGTAGAAGAGTATATCAAGGCTGGTAAGGATAAAAATATAGTTGATCYAGACGAAAATAGAGTCTATACAAAACGTAAACAGCGTCAAGAAGAGTTGAATGCCGTCCTAACGCAACCYCAAAGTAATCCTCAGACAGTCAAGTTCCCATGTGATGGTTGGTCATCCAGTTTACAGAGAATGCCACCTTTTAACAGGGCAGAACTGGATGCACATATAGCAAAATCTGGTAAAGTAATCGACCCTCAAAGTCAAGCCCATTCTCTCCCTACTGGACTTCAAAAAGCAAAGACCTTTTTGGTTGACGAGTACCTAAAGCAGATAGAAGCTGCAAGTGACAACAATTACTTTTATTTCAAGTCCCTTTGTTACCATAGTTTTAGAAAAAATGAAGCACCACATCAGTTGAAAGTAGCYCTGGACCTTATAACTGGTGAAGTCAAAGAAGGATCTTGCACTTGTGTGGCTGGTAAAGTTGGACTTTGCAATCATATTTTAGCTTTGATGCTCAAACTTTGTAAGTTTTCCTTGTATGCATGCAGTGATACTACACAACTGGWCTCGGAGGATGACATGAATCCCACTACTGCATGTACATCTTCACTCCAAGTGTGGCACAAAAAAGGAAGAGGTGATAAAATAAGACCACAGCCAATCATGGAAGTCATGGTTAAGAAAACAAAATTAGATGATTCCTCCACAAGCAGACCAAGAGAAGAAGGATTGAAGTGTCTTTTATATGAGGCAAGAAATAACTTGARGTCTCAGGTTGAAGATGAAGTCAAATTGAAAGCCAACCTAATGGCAATTAACCCGAGTATGCCATTAGCTCAACTTCTGAGCACAACTGAAAATCCTGAAATGAAAGAAACAAAATTTGGTAAGAGTCCYTGTGGGTCTTTTGCCAGCTACCAACTCCAATTCACTGAGTCAAATTTTAAAGTTTTCTGTGAATTAGGATCTGTACCAACCATTCCCCAAGATATAAGAGACCCCCCTACAAAATACCCAAAATTCCCAATCAAGTCCACTGAAGCTTACAAGTTACCAGATAATCTTGAACAAGTAGAAGTCAATTTACTTACTCACCTCTTAGTTGATGTTGATAAATTAAATGATATTGAAGTAAAGACCCGTAGTCAATCCACTTCAGATGAATGGAAAGATGAGCGAAAATACAGAATAACATCATCTAATTTCAAGAAAGTCTACATAAGGCAAAGAAATCATGAGTCATTTGTAAACAATCTAATCAGTCCTACCCCTGTTTATTCAAAGTACACTGAACATGGTAAGAAATATGAACCAATTGCATTAAGACAGTATCAAAGGTATATGTACTCAATCAGAAGACCTGTTATATTATTCAAATCAGGCCTAGTTGTAGCAATGGATGCACCCTTTCTTGGAGCCTCACCTGATAGCAAAGTAATTGAAGCAATCTGTGAAGATCAGTATGGTTTGGTGGAAATCAAATGCCCACACACAAAATTCCATGTAACTCCCTTRGAGGCATGCTCAGACAAAACATTCTTTTGTGAAGAAATTGATGGGRAACCAAAGCTCAAGGAGAATCATGACTATTATTACCAAGTGCAAGGACAACTTGGAGTAACTAAGGCTAGCTGGTGTGACTTTGTGGTTTACACTAATGCAGGAATGAGCATACAAAGAATTCCATTCAATGGTCAGTTCTGGGACAACCTTCACGAGAAATTAAAGGAGTATTACTTCAAGCATTTTCTTAAGAAAGCAGCTGAAGAATTTTGCAAATCAAGGCAGGATTGAGACTCTAACTTATTTGAAGTAAGCAATCTGTATTATTACCTTATCAAGTTTGGACAGACATTGTTTGCAATCAATCTCTTTAATTAGGCATTGGCATTTATTTATCTAGTTCTTGTTATTTATATTTACTAATAATGTGAATAACTTTATTTTTAAATAAAGCAATCTGCAATCTTAATATTGCTTTTACAACTGTTAGTGAATTAACTTAAAAGTTAATTCACTAACAGTTGTAAAAGAAAATCTACTAAAGATCTCATTCAATTCATACATAGATTTAAAAGGCAATCATATTTTCACTAAAATTTACTATTAGAAAATATTTACAAACTAATGAAGTTTCACCACTTTAWWAAAGGTGTATGTTDAATATTATTATTGAAAAACAGGGTTTATATTATTATTAAACATGAATGAAAAGGAGAATTTTCTGTAGTGCAATATTGACTCATAACAATTTCAATTTTAAAAGGTGTTTTCACTATATGAACAATTTAAATTCTGGTCAGTGTGTTTGTAGAAATATTCTAAACTTTTWACATGATGTCAAAAGAGAAYCATACGAGAGTTTTTTCTCAGACATCTAACTGAGTGTTTAAAAGTGAATGTTTCAGAATTAAAAAAAAGAGAGTAAAAGCATTATTTGGATGATAATCAATAATACTAGAGTCAAAACACTAAAAGTGTGCAACACTACATGCTCTATTTAGCAGTAAATAGTGCTTATCAAACAATGGAATTAGCATAATTTAGTGGTATTTATGTTGCACACTTCTATTTAATGTTTACAATACTTACAGCTTAATTTATACTAAACTGAAATAAGAGGATCACGTGCATTACACAGAAATGCACACACACTCCACATCTGATTTGCCAAACCAATCAAGTTAAGTGGTACATCACCATCCCATATGTGATAGTTCTTAATTAAGTTGATTGCTCTTTCAATATGAATGCGCACACTTGCAATTTGCTGGGTGGCAATGACGTCTTCCTTTGACATTTGTGAATCTTGACCAAGAAATGGGGGGATATTAAGAGAAACTCCCAKGGGAAGAATGTCTTCAATTTGAAAACCCTTATCTGCCATAACARTATCACCATCATTGTAATTCAAGTCCAATAAGCCACTTCTGGTTACAATTTCTCTATCTGATATACCCCCAGTGTATAACTGACTCACRAATGTGATGGCACCACTTGGTGCTATACCAACTAAGGCCTTGAAGGTTACATGGTTTTTGTAAGAGCTAAACATTTCTGAATTTAGAAGCAGGCTACTAGGCATCTCACAGCGAAGTTCMGTGCAGTCAATGATGACTCTGGTATTGGGATATTTCTCTTTAAATATTGCTGGCATTGTCTCGTGTACAAGTGATCTTGATGGCCAGATATTCACCTGACCACATTTCAAAAACATATAATTTATGTATGTTGTAAATAGTCTACTGACTGTAGACTGTGAAACTCCAAACAGATGAGCCAAGTGAAGTTCAGCAAACCCCCTTCTTAATCTACACATCACTAGAAARAACTCATCAATAACTGCAAGTTTCCTTGGTCTTCCAAGTTTTCTCTTCTGGGTGTTTGGAGATGTCTGATTCTCATCATCTTCTTCTTCCTCGATTGTATAAAAATCAGCTGTAACATCGGTATTCTTAGACGTGTAATACCTAACATTCTCTCCTTTATCTCCTGTGTTCAGAAATTTGAAAATAGCTTCGAAGGTAAGATAGTTAGGAAAGCCAGTATAAAAACTAATATCTTCATCTGATTTGAAATTATCTAAGCTGAATAGCTTTTCTTTTATGTCAGTCAATTTGTTTTTTAAAAACAAGCACTCTTTTTCCAAGGCATCTCTCGTGACTTCAACATCAAACAAGGTATGAATCGCTTCATCATGCTCCGACTTAAGTTCAGCCACGAGTTTCTTGTTAGTTTCTTCTAACCGTTCTTTGTCAATCTGAAGTTCATTTACTTGATTTTCAAGTTCCCTTATCWGTTCTCTAAGTTTCTCGTTATCTGCCTTCACTTCTGAGAGTAGTTCTTCAGATGTTTTCTCATGAAATACTTCGTCGCTGGTAGCTGGGTGTTCGTCTACTGTTGTTGTTGTTGATGTCGAAGGACGTTGACGCTTAGTCGGTGATTTCCTCTTTCTTGGCGATACAGTCCAAGCAAAAATTGATGGTATACTACCAKGCTTTAATGTCACAATCCCATTTAGTGAYTTTTTTAAGTCAGCAGGCTTAAAATGTCGAGAACATACTTTGKTGCGACAGGTGAGCTCAAAATCCTTCCCCGRGTCTCTTCTTATTGCACGAATCCAACTCTTTCTAACACCCGCATTTTTGGGGAAGTTAAAGAACGATATTTTAATTCCTTGTACATCGCGGTAGCCCTTAAAGGTACACTGAGGTACACAGCAGTGCGAAGGCATGAAAAAAACAGCCARAAAACACGAAACACTAGATCAGAAATACTAAATTCTAACATTAGTCTAACAGTCATGGAATGCTCATGGCTGACCGACCTCGTTTTCGTGCAATTCGTTACCAGGCTCCAATACTGAAACGCTCGTTTTGCATAGCGTGTATTACCTACCTGTATCTTAATTTCGCGAAAGAAATATTGGTCCTTGCGATGAACCTTTCCATCAGTGAGACAGGACAATAAACAGATCCAGTACCGGCTATAGGAATCATACTACCCTTTGCCTCGACAGTCTCCAATTCCAAGAAATGAACCTTCAAAGCTACTCAGTAGTTTTGAAGCTGCTTCTGTTTGGAACTCTTCTAGATTAACATAAATTACCATCCCTTTTGAACCAAGGTGACCGTCTATCAGCTCTACTGAAGGCTCTTGATCTTCAGTATGTGTGATTCTTTTCAGTTTCTTTAGAAACATTTGGAATTCATGGGTTCCTTCAAATGCTTTTCCCTTAGAAAAATTACAAAAACTGTTTTTTATATTGCCAAATTAATATTATTACACATTACAGATACTTA